GTCATGAGAATGGAGAGTTCTGCGCATGTGGAAATGCTGAAAGTTTCATTTTCTCCAAAACCATGAGGCTTCTTGTAAAAGAGAACAGGGGAGGGGAGGGGAGGAGGTGGATGGCGCCATTTTGTACTTGGGCTTGTCTAAAATGGCGCTGGTTATGTTGCAGATCTACTACTCATTCCCAGTGCTGTTTAGAATAGCCCAGAATTGCAAACAACCCAAATGTCCATCAACAGGTAATTGGATAACAGATTATGGTACAGTCACACAACAGAATGTTTGTGAGGAGGAGATAAATCTGCAAGGACTGACATGGGGTGGGGGTGGGGGAATCTATAATATAGTGTTTAGTGAAAAAAACCAAGTCATAGAACTCTGTAAGTTATGATCCTATTTTGTGGGAGAAATTGACCAGGATGGTATGCATCTCTTAGTCTGAGTTAGGGAGGAAACTCCATTCCTCTGGCTTCCTATTTCCAAGTTGGGGGAATTTCAGCTGAAATGTCGATACTGATCCATCTCTGAGCACTCACACCCGTACGAGTTAACCTGACGAGTGAGTCTCAAAGAAGTAACTGAACTTCTTCAGGTTATGCCTTTTCTCTCTCCCTTTGGGGGTCTGCTGGACCACAGAGAAGGACAGTTTTTTGTTTTTGTTTTTTTCCCTGCAAAAGACAGGACAGCACTTTTGTATGTGGCAAAATACTCCTAGGGGAGTACAGACGAATAGACAGATGGGGAAACAGGACACCAGGCAGGGGGAAAAGGGTGGTCAGTGGTATCTTCTAACCAATAAGTGGAAGCCACGCCCCCCCCCAGGTGGCAGGTAGGACAGTAGCACAGGAGGTGGCGAGACAGGCATGACATGCCCATCCCTGAGATGGGCAGCCAGGCAGGGCCCAGTCCTCATTGGCACAATTGGTTCTCTTTGGCCCAGTTGGGATGCTGGGGAGGGGCAGGGCTGCTGGGCTATGGGGAGACTGAGGCAGAGGGATACCCCAAGGGAGAGGGGCTACCAAGGCCTCTCCTGGGGGAAGTGGGAGAGGGGCTGTTTTGATCAGGCCAGGACACGCAGTAAGCACCCAGGGCAGGTTTTCCCCTGCACAGGAGGCTTGTGGTCAACCAGCTGTGCCATGCCCAAGTGCATTTGGCAAATCAGGGCTGAAATAATCAGAAACCTCCCTGGGGCGGCTCAGCTTGGCCACATGTGCCAACCTGCCTTTCCTCAGTCATGAAGCTCAGATTTTTATTTCTGATTCCTGTGACTAGTTCCAAACTCAGAAGAGAAATGAAGAGATGTCATGTGTTGATTTTCCTCCAAAACCCCAAAAGTAGACAAAATTCTAGAAGCTCATATGCCTAACTTTTCACAATGATTCCTTCTGGGGCCTGGGATTAGAAAGAGGCTCACTTTCTGGGGCTGGCTGCTTAGCTCCTGGGGAGAGCATAGTGCTGATAAGGTCAAGGGTTCAGATCCCCATACAGGCCAGTGGTCAAAAAAAAAAAAGTTCCACTTTCTGCAATGTTAAAATTTATTTACAAACATGTATAATTTTTAACATCAAGAAAACTTACTTTTTTTTTTTTTAAAGATGACTTGTAAGGGGATCTTAACCCTTGACTTGGGAGAGCGTGGTGCTGACAACTCCAAGTGAGCTAACTGGCCATCCCTATATAGGGATCCGAACCCGTGGCCTTGGTGTTATCAGCACCACACTCTCCCGAGTGACCACGGGCCAGCCCGAAAACTTACTTTTAACAAAATGTTTTATGGCTTTTTTTCCTTTTTTTCCCCTCCCCAAAAGTTTTATGTTTAAATACAAATATCCACCCATGAATGGGTAAACAAACCCATACAATGGAATATTACTCAGTGATAAAAAGCAACAAATTATTGATCCCTACAACAACATGAATGAATCTTAAAATCATTATGCTGAGTGAAAGAAAAAGTACATACTCTCCAAGGTCAATTTTATTTATTTACATAAAATACGAGTAAAAGCAAAATAATCTACAGAGACAGAAAGCAGACCAATGGCTGCCTAGGGATGGGGCGGAGGTAGAGAGGATAACAAAGGGGCACAAGGAAACTTTTGGGAATGATGGAAATGTTTATCTTGATTGTGATGATGGTTTCACAAGTGTACACATGTGTCAAAACTCATTAAATGATGCACTTTACTGGGTTTTTTTTTTTTTGGCAGCTGGTCAATACAGGGGTTCGAACCTTTGACCTTGGTGTTATAACACTGTGTTCTAACCAATTGAGCTAATCAGCCAGCCCCAAATGATGCACTTTAAATACGTGCAATTTATTACACATTAATTATACCTCAACAAAGGTGTAGGTGCTGGCCGGTTAGCTCATTTGGTAGAGTGTGGTGCTGATAACATCAAGGTCAAAGGTTCAAGTCCCCGTGTAAAAAAAAAAACCAAAGCTATAAAAAATGTGTATGTCTAGTCATTGCTCCCTTATTGGCCCCAGTTACTGGACCATCCCTTCAGATACTGTTGTGCGTATGCAAGGCAGCTTCACATAATGGTTAAGAGTAGAGGATAAGGTTACTCAGGTTCTTGCACTTTACCAGCTATGTCGCTTTGTGCAACTTACCTTCTCTGTGCCTCAGTTTCTTCATCTGTACGTCCCTCACTGGGCTGCTAATAGGAGTCTGTGCATGAAGGACTGAGCAGCACCTGGCACATAATAAACAAGAAATAAATGTCAGCTATGGTGATTATCCTTTATCTTCATTGGAGGGCAGCGCTGAAGCCCCCAGTCCCTTGTCTGGGAGAACGCAGTGGTCAGGAGTGGGGGGGTCCCAAGAGGGGAAGAGCTCCATCTGATGTCCGATTGCCCCACCATCCTCAGAGCAAAGTCCAGGGAAGAGGTCACTAAGGCAGAGTGAGTCCTCTGCAGGGTGAGCCTGGGGGAAGACCAGTGGTATGCTGCAGCACAGGAGAGCCAATTGCTGAATTTTCAGGAATTTTGTGAGCTGGTTGTTGAAACCAGCTTTACTAGTCTATTTCTGTTGCTTATAACAGAACACCCGAAATGGTAATTTATAAAGAAATGAAATGTAGGGCCGGCCTGGTGGCGCACTGCTACAGTGCGCCGCTTGGGAGCGCGACGGCGCTCCCGCTGAGGGTTCGGATCCCACATACAGACCGGTTCCCGCTCACTGGCTGAGTGAGGTGCGGGCGCAGCACCGAGGGTTGCGATCCCGTTGCCGGTCCCGGTCCGGTACGGGCGCAATACTGAGGGTTGCGATCCATTGCCGGACACAAAAAAAGACAAAAAGGAAAAAAAAAAAAAGAAATGAAATGTATTTCTTACAGTTTGAGATGGGGAAGTCCACAGTCCAGGAACGCATCTGGTGAGGGCCTTCTTGGTGGTGACTCTCTACAGTGACACAGGGCACATGGTGAGAATGGCCTGAGCAAGAGAGGCTAAAACTTCTCACTGGCTCTGCTTATAAAGCCTTCAGAACCACACCTGTTACTCCATGAATTGATCAATCCATTCACAAGGGCGAAGTCCTCACAATGGAATCACTTCAAAGGCCCCACCTTCCAAATGTCATAATTGGATTTCCCACCCTTTTAGCACTGTTACAATGAAGGTCAAGCTTCAAAGAATTCTGGGGGGACATTCAATCCACAGCACCAGCCATGGCAGAGAGTGTTTACACCACAGAAATTGGCAGGCTCTACAAATCAGGGCTTCCCTGGCCCCCACCCTAGTGCTGGCTGTTAAACATTTACCTGCCTCTAAATTAACTTCTGCTGCTCCATCCCTACTGGAAAGACAGAGAGAAAAAATAAAGGCTTTTTTTTTCTTGGGATTGCTACAGATAGGGCATAGGGAGTCCACCTCCAAGACCACTGCAGAGCCCAGCACAGGGCTGAGTTGAGCCCTCCTTCCTATTCCTCCAGACCCCAGCTCTCCAGACACCCTCCACCAGCAGATCAGTCTTCATTTCCCTCCCTGCTCCCAGTGACTCAGAGACTTCTGCAATCTTGATGCCCCAGCCTGGCTCAACCCAGTCTCCAGAGGTCCTGGGCTGGAGCTGCTAGGTTTGGTCACAGCATGGGGCAATTAGACTTTAACCATTGCCATTAGGGGCACACTCCCACCCGAGTCCTCCATGGCCAGATGGAGAAGGACTTTCTCCTCCACCCCCCAGTGGGAACAGCATGGGAGAAACATTTCCAGCTACTCTGATGGGCGAGCCTGAAATAAGGAACCAAGTGTACCCAGCTCAGCCCTCTTCTCTCCTGGCTCTGCCTGCCCCAGAGGAGGCACCCTGCCCTGCCCTGCTGTGCAGGTGGTAAGCCCACAGAGCCGGGGCTTAGCCACACACACCCTCCAACCGAGCTCAGATCAGAAGTAACGCTCATCTCGCAGGTGGGCGCTCAGGATCACTGACACCTGCATCTTTCAAGTGGTTCAGACCCAAAAGGCAGGAGGTAAAGGAGTTGCTACTTACTGAACCCCTAAAGCCTGAGCCATCTGCGAGCCTGCCTGCTTTTGCTCCCATCACCGCCTCAACCTCACTTTTGATCGTCCCCCCACCTGCTCCCTCTGCCACAAGGACCTTTCTTCCTGTTCCTGGAAAATGCCAAGTTCATTCCCATCTCAGCGTCCTTGCCTTTCCTGCTCTTCCCCAGATCTTCCCACGGCTGGTTTCTCTTTACCTCTCAGGTCTCAGCTCAGAGCAGTCTGCCCTGCACTCTCTCCCAAGCGTCCACGCCTCCATCGTGTGACCCTGGTTTATTGTCTGTCTTCAAATTTATCCTGTGGGTGTGTCTGTCTCTTTATGGCCCTGCCTTCTCCTCTGTGAGCTCTATGAGCACGGTCTTGTCTGTTCTGTTCACTGCTGTGGTCCCAGTGCCTGGAATGGGTGCCTGCAAAATAGTAAGTGCTTAAGAAACATTTGCTGAATGAATAAACTGAATGCTGTTTTGAAAAACTGATTATTTTTCTTTAATAGCAAAATAACATATTGTGGAAAATTTGGAAAATGTGGAATACAAAATATAGAAAATAACTGAGAATGTTTATTAACATTTTGATCCTCAAACTGCAAATCTCACTTGCCCTCTCTGTGTCTATTGCATGTCTCTTGCATGTGTGTAGGCATTCAAGGGGTATGTGGGTGCACATACATAGATAGTTCTTCCAGGCTTCTTAAGGGGGCTTGGCCCCTCAGATTCCCATAAGTTTTATCCCCACCCTTCTACATCAGTCCTGTTCCTAAGACTGACCCTTCATAGAGGGACTTCTTGGGCACAGGGGCTGTTAAACAGTAAGGCTTGGGCTGGCCGGTTAGCTCAGCTGGTAGCAATGCTGATAACACCAAAGTCAAGGGTTCGGATCCCTGTACTGGCCAGCCGCCAAAAAAAAGAGAGAGAAAAGAGTAAGGCCTTGCAACATAACCATGAGGTAGCTGTGGTCTTTCCTATTTCCAGATGGGGAACTGGGCCTCAGAGAGACTGGCTGATGTGACTGAGGTTACACAGCTGGCAAACGATTCCAACTGTCTGGAGGCCCCTGAGGCCCGGGTTCTGTCTGCCTGTGGCCTTCAGTTCCCTCAGGCCTGATTGCCTGAACTCTTCGAGGTACTGTTCATTCAGAGGCTAGGGCTCAACAGGAACAGGTGGAGCACTCACATCCACCAGTCCAGGGACTCTTTGGGGCAGGCCCTGACAATGACCATACAGTGGGGCAGCCCCTTGCACAGGATCCTCTCAGCCTCCTGGCCCTCCCACCCCAGCCCCTGCAACTCGAGGACTCTGAGCTTGGGCATGGCAAGGCAGGAGGAGAGGATTTCAGTGGCAGAGGGCATTTCTGGGGTGATGAGGGGACCCTGCAGGCACAGACTCTCCAGAGCTGGCATTCCCTCCAGGACAGCCAGGCCAGGAGCAGAGAGGCCCCTCACAGTCAGCCGGATCTTGCGCACGTCTCGGAGGTGGCGACTGATGGCCAGCAGGGTGCTATCGGCTGAGAGGGTGCAGCCCAGCACCTCAAGCCTCTGCAGGTAGCTCAGCTCCTGCAGGCTGGCATCCAGTCCTGTCTCAGTCACCCGGTAGGTGCCACCCAGCACCAGTGAGCGCAGGGCCCGGAAGCGTGTCAAGCCCTGAAGGTGCTCGTCGCGGAAGGCGGGGACGCGGTCCAGCACAATGCACTCAAGCAGGGGCAGTACAGTGGGATCCTGCTCCTTGAGGAGCCAGGCCATGGAGATCTCACAGCTGTGCAGCTCCAGGGTCCTCAGGGTGCGGGGCAGGCTGGTAATGGGCACCATGCTCAGGTCGGCCACGTGCAGGCAGAGGCGTTTTAGGTTGGGACACTTCTGGCCCAGGGCCCTCATCAGGGCGGGGGACAACTGGGGGGCCTGGGAGCCAGAGAAGAGGTAGCCACCCATCCGCAGGGAGTGGAGGTGGGATGCCATGTACCGGCGAAGGAGGTGCCACATGACTTTAGGCCGCATCTGTAAGAGCCAGAGATTGGGATGACGGGTTGAGAAATATGGGGCGTCTAAAGCTTCTGCCTGACTGGAGACCGACATACCCAGGGTGGGGGGTTCTGGTGCCTCCTTGAACTTCTGCCCTTCCCAGGTCAGCCTCCACCCCAGGACCAACGAGATGGTTTGACTGCACCATTTTGACTGGTAGGACTTTGAACAAAACCAATCGGGGAAAGAAAGACCCTAACAGGTCTGTCTTCAGCAACAGCATAGATTCCTCTGGGGCAAGTAAGAAAGCAAAGCAGTCCACCAGTATTTTCCCCCTTTCTTAATGACCACGTCTGGTAGATATAAGAAACACAGAATAAAACTGAAAAAGCCTAAAATTGCCCAGGGTCAATTAGGTCTAGGTTAAAAACACACATACCTACGAGGGTACTTCTAAAAGTTCATGGAAAAAATAAAAAATTTAAAAGAAAAAAAACTAAAATAAAAAAAGTTCACGGACAGATACCGATTATCTTTATTTGGGGGGGGGGATGGTATCTGGCCGGAAAGGTGATCCAAACCCTTGACCTTATCGTTACCAGTACCACGCTCCCAAGTGAGGTAACTAGCCAGCCGCTGGATTATGTTTTAATTCCATGTTTCCATGAACTTTTTTTCTTTATATTTCCACAAACTTTTTGAACCTTCATATGCACAGCCTGATAACAGTGAAAGCTGCAAAAATTAACTCTGGGAAGTAAAAAAACAAACTAACTAAATGTAACTGATACCACTATGCATTTCATTGTATGTACATTTCACCTTAAAAAGAAAACATTAGGGCCGGCCCAGTGGCGCACTCGGGAGCGGATACTATAGGGATGGCCGGTGGGCTCACTGGTTGAGCGCGGTGTGGGCGACACCAAGCCAAGGGTTGCGATCCCCTTACCCGTCACAAAAAAGAAAAAAAGAAAAAAAGAAAACATTAGAGGGGCTGGGGGGCTAGTTGAGTTTTAGAGTGCAACC